ACACCTCGCCAGCCTCCCCCCGCGGCGCCCCCATCTCCGGCGCCTGGCGCTCGGCACCGACCGGGCATGGGCTCTTCCAGGCCATCGCGTGCTTGATGGACATGAACGCGCTGCTGGACCGATTCCACAACTACATCCTCCCACACCTGCGGGGCGAGGACCGCGTCTGCCACTGCAACTGCGGCCGGTGAGTCCGCGCCCGCCCTCGGGCACTATAAGCGCGACCACACAGGTGCGGGCGGCCCGCCGGGTGCAAGGAGAGCTGGGCCCACGCAGGCCGCGCGGGGTCGGGGAGGCGCGGGGCCGGGGCTCAGGTGCGGGTGGGGGAGGGGCTAGCCGGCCGACCCGGCGTCGGGAGGGGCCGCCGGAGTCAGTCGCTGGCAGAGCCAGAAATTCCCAGTCGGAGCAGCCCCCCAACGCCGTTAGAGAAAGGGCCGCCCGCCGCGAGCTATAGGTCCAACTGACTCGGCCTCCTGGCCCACTCTGGCGTTGGGGCCTTCGCACAGGCAGTGCACACTGCACGCATGCCTCGCGTATCCTTCGGCCTTGTACACTGTGCACACGGACTTCTGTGAGCCCAGGTGCCGGCAAGTGCAGAAGGTCAAGGTGGGAAAGGGGCAGAACCCCTCATTGTACGTAGGAGGAAACTGAGGCAGGGGTGGAGCTTGCTCAAGGTCACTGGAGTGCGGGGGAGGCCCAATCCTGTGCTGGTGTGGTGACGGGGTTCTCTCGGCCATGCATGTTTGTACGTCCGTGTACGAAATAAACATCTTCTCACCAGACGCGCATGTGTGTACCGTCTGTGCATATACATGTGCGTCCACACAGCGCACGCGCAAGCAGGCTGCACACCCACACTCCTACACGGTGACCACTTTTGTCCCCCCCGACACATGCGATCACAGACCGAGGCCTCAAAGGACAGAGACCCTCCCAAGGTCACACAGTCATTGGTGGTGGGGGTGCAAGCCTGTGTGCATACAAGCTGGGCTGAGGGGATGTGGACTGCATGCCTGCTCAGTGAGCTACACAGTCATGGGGGGACAGGTGTGTCGGTACAAGACACAGGTCTGAGACCAGCTGCAGAAGGGGTGCTGGGCGTGAGGGCTAGGGAGACCCAGAACCCCAAGAGGAAGTGGCTGAATGGCCATACTCTCACAGAGCCCTGGTTCCTGTTGGCCGCACAGTTCACAAGACTTGTCCAGTGGTGAAGGGACAGGGAGGTGTCAGCTCCACAGTCTCCTAGGGCCATGACTAGGGTGAGGTATAAACCAGGAGATCCCAAGATGCTCCCAGGAAGCTCTCCACGGGCAGAGCATCCAGCCCGGGCTCAGCTCCAACAGTACACGCAACATGCATCCTGACGTGTGGAATGTCCTTGGTGGCTGTGCGATGTGATGAGTGAGTCCCTGCCTGTGAACATGTTTGCACACATCCTGCAGGACCTGTCCGTGCAGACAGGTTTATTCTTAAGGGATGCTGGAATGGGGTGTGTACATGCACTACTGTGGTACTCAGAGTACACTGGGGTTCATGTACAACAAGTGCCTATGTAGGGCTCAAATGCAGGGGAAGGGTGCTCATATGTGCAGATTAGGGTCTGTGTACACAAAGCGTGGAGAGCCACACCACGTGACAGACTGGAGTCATATTCCTACCCGCGTGTGTGTACATGTATATGCTTTGTGCACATCTCTATATACAGACCATGTCAATTCCGTGTTCAAAGTACTATTGTATATTGATAATATATATGTGTATGCAAAGAACATATATAACCCAATATACAGCAGATTGTATACCCAGGCCATGAGATACTCAGCCACATCGGTGCAGTAGGTGTGTGCGCATGGTAAAGCTTCGCCCATAGGGTTCTGTGAGGAAACCTTGCACATGCAGTACTACCATGGATATCATCCATGTGTGCACACAGTGTGTGCAGAGTGAGCATGTACATGTGTATGCTTCTACATGCCTGAACTTAGAAGTTTACACAGGGACATGTGTGCAATTCAGTGCTACAAAGTCCATGTGTGAACAGGCAGTACTTGTGTGTGTGAGTGAACACATGCATGTGGCCAGGGTTGTATGGGGACTATAGAGCTGTGTCCACACAGAATCCATGTGTGCCCATGTGTGACATAACCACCCTTGTGTCTGCAGTGGGTATGCACAGTGCATGGATATACTGTGCATGTAGCAGGTGTGTGTACGGGATGTCGTTGAGCCTCTGATAGACAAGTACAGCATGTGCAGTGCAGGCAGACTACACGTATGTACACGGCCCAGACATACGTGTGTGGGAAGTACTCTGCCAAAGCTGACGCATCCTGCTTCCATGTGGGACCTGAGCTCCTGACCCCAAGAGCTTGACGTGGAGGGAGGAGGAATGGGATGGGGATAAGCTGCAGGTGCCAGCCACAGTATGGGCACAGGTCATGACCGCTGACTCTCTGGAGGTCCTGAACCAGGGAATGGCCTCACTGCAGAGAGAGGGGGGCCATTTCTGACTTTCTCAGTACTCTGATTTTCAAGTTGCCTGCTCAGCCAGCCATGTGTTGGGCAGGGTGCGGGAGGCCCCGAGGAAGGCCTTCCAGGGGTCTGGGCAGAGAGTGCCTGGAGGCAGGAAATCATGGTGATACTTGGCTGCTGGCTGTCACCCCCTCGAGGACTCAGTGTGAAGAGCCAAGCGGGTCACACAACCTGAGCATGGTCAGTAGTTTTCCACCCATTATCGATGACTGACAATCTACTGACCAGCTGGTCACGTGAGTGTGGCTGCAGGAGTCACTGTTGCCCACAGCCAGTACCCACTGGCTCCTCCACCTGGGTTGTGCTTCAAGCCCTGCTCAGGGGCTGTGGTGGCCGTCACCCACTGGCCTGGCTGTCTTCTTCCCAGACATGCTGAGTAGTTGGATTCTCAGGGTCCCAGCAAGAACAGGAGGCTAGGGGCCGGAGCCAGGGCCAGGGTTCTGGTCCACAAACCCAGCCTCTCTGGACCCTTCGTGCCTAGGCTAATCACCACCTCATCCCTGCTGGACTGAGCTTGGGTCTCATGGACCCCCTGATCTCACTGGCAGAGAGGTCCAACTGGTCACATGAGCATGGCTGCAGGAGTCACTGTTGCCCATAGCCAGTACCCACTGGCTCCTGAATGGTCTCTGCCAGGCACAAAGACATCAGTGAGGGAGCAACAGGGCCTAGGGAATGTGTGGGCCTCACTGGGTTCAGGTGAACTTTGGGGGAGGAGGAGAGGGAGGACTCAGCACCACAGGAGGGTCTCGCCTGAGGCCAGCATGGAACCACCATTTAACTGAAGATAGATTCCAGAGAAGCAGGTTTGGGAGGGAGGCGCTATTTTTAGGCATGAGTTTGAGTTAGCTGTGAAGCCCCACGTGGAGACAGCAGCGGCGCTGAAGCAGAGGTGGATGTGGGGACCGAGGCCTGGGAGGATGGGGCTATGGGTGGGAGAGGGGCTGGAAGAGGGAGAAGATCCCTCAGTCGGGACGAAGGGTCAGCAGGAGGAGGAGACCCAGAGGGCGGGGTGGCCAGGCCAAGTGCAGCAAATGTGAATGCCTCAGGTGCCAGCCCCGTTGGCTGGCCCTGGGTGGGCACTGGTGAGTAGGCTAGAAGGCCCAAAGGGCTTCCCGGAGGAGGCATTATCTGGCCAGGACTGAGCAGGAAGGCAGTGGTTCAGGAAAGGCCAGGCTCTGGGGGTCTGGGGTACTAAGAATAAAGGACTGAACTTGCTCAGGGGCCAGGTTAGTGGGCAGTCAAGGCCAAGACTGACACCAGGAGACAGAGACCAGGAAGGGGGCCAGCCGGGTTGCCCCGGGTGAGTGTCACCCTCTTCTCTTCCAGAAGGGGGACCAGGGCCCACGGCTGAGCAGCCAAGCCCGGGCTGCCCTCTCGGGTGGCTGCTTCACCTGGGCCCAGTTGCCCACCAGCACTAGACTCGGGCATGGCGGGGCCCCGGGACGCAGTGCAAGGCGGGCCGAGGCAGTGTCCCCAGCCGCAGCAGACGTGGCCCCTCGGGAGCTGGCGGGGGGCGGGAGAGGTGCCAGCCCACCTGCCGCCCCCAGGCACCACGTGCATTACGTGATCCCATACGACGGGGACCAGTCGGTGGTGGACGCTGCGGAGAACTACTTTGTGACGGACAATGTGACCAAGCAGGAGATCGACCTCATGCTGGGGCTGCTGCTCGGCTTCTGCATCAGCTGGCTCCTCGTGTGGGTGGACGGCATCCTGCACTGCGCCGTGCGTGCCTGGAGGGCTGGCAGGCGCTACGGTGAGCTCCAAGCACTGGCCCCTCATGCACCACCCTGGTCTCTGCCCAGGCTTGCATGTGCCACCCAACTCATGTCTGGCCTTCCCTCCTCCCACCACAACTCCCCCTCATCCGTGCCTGACCCCAGGCACCAACCTGGCTGTCCCCGGAATCCACACCTGTCACCCACTCTCCTATCCTTGCCCAGCCACCCAGCCCTCTTGTTCTACACCTAGTCAGCAAGTCCCACATCAGCTACCCAGCCTCACACCCATGTCTCCACCCCATCCCTGCTTGCCCAGGCGGCCATCCTAACCCCAACCCTGACTACACCTTGTCCCCACAGACGGCTCGTGGACCTGGCTGCCCAAGTTTTGCAGCCTGCGGGAATTGGGTCGGCGGCCGCACAGGCCCTTCGAGGAGGCTGCAGGGAACATGGTGCACGTGAAGCAGAAACTGTATCACAATGGTCACCCCAGCCCACGGCACCTCTGAGCCACTCACAGGACTCACAGGGGTGCACCCAGCCACCGGCCACTGTATAGATGTAACCAGGACCTTTACAGCACCGTGGCCTGGCAGGACTGGACATCAGCCTTGGGCCACGGTGGCTGGCCTCAGGCGGCCGGGGTTCTCCAGCAGAAGGTGCTGACTCCTTTTCTTTTTATAAAGGGGGTTTAGGGTGGGGGCCGGTGGAGGCGGCCACCAGGTCTGGGGGCAGGACCCCAGCCTGCCAGTTGAATAGGACCCAAGGGCAGACTGGGGGGGCGCACATTCATGTGACTCTGCCTCAAAGGTGCTGGGGGCTGGGGGTGGGTGGGTCCCAAGTGGGGGGCGGGGGGAGCCCGGCTGGTCATCTGGGCTGATGATCAGGGCCACTTGCCCAGGGTCCTGTCTGCACCTGGTCTGGGATCATGTGTTACATAAAACCGGCCTGTGTCTGTGTTTCCTGTGCATCGTGTCTGTCTGTCCACCCTGGATCTGTTGTCTGTCTGCAAGCTCAGAGCCAGTCTTGGTGGAGGGGAGTGAAGCTGGGGCCATGCTGTCCACCTCACTGGGAGTTGGCTCCCAGAGGCTAGGGGCATGCCTGGTACCCATGATGTTTGCACACGGGAGCATGTGCATGGGGTACGCACGTGTCCTCCAGCGTGGCAGCCAGGGGCCTCGGGCTGGGCCATTCCTGGCCGAGCAGCAATAAGGCCTGAGCCCACCTACTGCACGAGCAGCACCCCTGCCCAGGGCCCCTGGAGGGCACCTCACTGTGACGTCCACCCCAGCCGCAGTCAGTAAATTATCCAGAAAGCTCCAGCCTCTGCCTCTTCTTTCACCTCTGATCCCATAGGGCTGCAGACGATCTACAGACAGAAGGCCCCCAAACTCTGCCCCTCCTTGAGCCAGCCACGGATGCAGAAGCTGAGGCTTTGGTTCACAGTTTTTATTAGATTCTGGAGGGAGAGACCCCAACTCCAATCACAGGAGGGTGGGCTCTGCTGCTCCACCTGGTGGCTGACAGCTCCAGGGCCATAGCCACTCTAAGCCTGCTGGGGCAGGACCAGCACTGAGACTGTGGTACCACAGCTCTTTAGCATTGGAGCCGCTGCCACTGCGCATAGGTTGGGCCATTGGATTAAGGCCCAAATGCAGCATCAGGTCTTGTCCTGTAGGGAACCAAGCAGGCTAGTCCCCAAGGAGCTCTGGTACAGATGGGGAGACCAAGCCAGGCCCCTCCTCTCTGCAAGGTGCAGCCCTAGCCCTGATGGCCTGGCAGCACACCTCCATGGCCTCTACAGGGGTGGCAGATACCATGCCTTCTACACTCTGTTGGCAGGCTGATGGGGGGTGCAACAGGGGGCCTGGCTTGGAGGCTCACACCTCCCAAAAACGCTGGGAGGATTGCCTGGAGGGGCACCCAGACAGTAAAGAGAACCTGACTAGAACCTGGCACCCTGCTCTGGGGACCCCACAGAGATGTGACACCAGTGGGTGGTCCTGCACCCGGAGGCCTTTAATGTGGCCCCCACCTGACTAAAGGAAGGATAAAAATGTCAGGGGGCCGCTGCACAGTTCCTCTCCTGCCCGGTGACCCAAGAGCTTGGTGCTCTTCTTGTGTCTGTCAGCACAGTGGTGTCTGTCCACCAACCACGGCCAGGGCCTCAGGGAAGCTGGGCTGTGCCATCTGCGGGACCATCCGCCCGAAGCCACTGCATCTTCTGCTGGTGCTGCTGGAGGGCATCCTTGACGCGCGCATCCATCATGGCCTCGGTGAGGACCCCGTCCTCTGATGCATACGCCATAGCCTGAGGGGAGCAGGGGCTTAAGGGCTGGGCTGTGGAGGGGTGTCCCAGCCTCAGGCAGCCCCATCTCTGACATCATAACACCTGTGACACCTCTACACACTACCACAGAACGCAGGACCCACCACCAGCCTCAGCAGGACAAACCCTCCAGGTTGGCTGTGGGATGGTGGTGGGGGCAGCCCTCCCCTTCCCTTCCCCAGCTGTGGGGCTCCTTGTGCTGCATGTAGCTTCAATGATCTTATAAAATTAGAAGATGAGGCGCCCAAGTGGCAGTACGCTGCAGCCCGAAGAGCCTCCTGGCCCTGGCTTCAGCCCGTATGTCCGGGATGAGTTGTGTTCATCCCACCACCTGCAAGGTTGGGACAGCCCTGTGATCCAGGGTGCAGCATGAGAGGCAGTACTAATGCCTCAGTGGGTGGACCCACAGGCCCAGGAACCCACAGGCACCCTGGGAGAAATCAGACCACTAGCTGGGGCCAGATCGGGGTTGCTGGAGCAGAGGCACAGGGCCTGTCGGGTGGAACCATGTGCCCCTAACCCCAACCCCCAAGGGGCCTCATCACACCTGAATGGCAGCTCTCGGGCCTGTCCCCAATGCCCTGGAGCCAATGTCCTGGAGTTTTCCTCCCCAAACCCACCACCCTAAGCTCATGAGGAAAACACCAGACTCAAATTGAGGGCACACTGCAGACATCACCCAGCAGCCTCTGACGTAAGGGTCATGCAAAGACAGGACCAGGGAGGGGTCTGGGGTGGAGGGCAGGAGCTGGCACAATCTCTACACTCTCCTTGTAACTTTCCTGTGAACCCAAAGTCACTCAAAAAATAGCAAGTTTGTTTATAAAATGGTGATAAATCCACAAACTAAAGTGCAGAGCAAGTAAGGGTTCAAACTAGCAGAGCTAATGGCATGGCTGATGTTGGCATCTCATACTGTGAGGGTCCCTGCAATGCCACCAAGGTGGCCTCAAGGACCAGAGCATGACCCCACCCAGGGAGAGGGGTGGTTACTAGAAGAGCTGGAGCAACCAAGCCAACCCAGTTCTGTGCCCCCGAGGCCAATGTAGGTAAAGGTGGAAAGAAGCCAGGACCATTTCCGGGCTATGGAAACTGATCCCTTTGGCTCCCCACCTCTGCCTCTCACCTCCCAGGGATGTGGAGGATCATCGCGGGCTGTGCTATAACCAGACACTCCCCACGAGGATTCCCCATCAGCTGGGAGAGTGCCTGTAGACAGACTCAGGGACCCCACACTCGCTCCCCCACACATCCTAGGATCCACAGGAACCTCTGTGCTTACATGTCTCCAGGGCTGTCCCCAAGTGTCTTCTGCTCTATCAGGCACATGTGGGAGTGTCACCCGCTTTGTCAGGTGTGGAAAGCAATGGACTCCCCCTCAGCTGGGCCAAGAGAAGGGATGGAGCTGAGATTTTGGGGCTGTTACAGCAGTGTAACCCAGCTCATCCTAACAGAGGCTCCTTTGTGCTTAGACTGTGGAGAGTCATGTCAGTGTACATGTCCAAGTAAAGGAAATGCTCATTCATTTCAATGAGCTTTAAGTGGCTGGGTGGCCACATGACATCAGATAGACAGCAAACCCTTGGAGATGGCAGTGCCGGCAGAGCCTGAGGGCCGGCTGCACCCCGTATGTCACTAGCACACATGACACCACACACCTGGTCTCTCCAGGCAGCCCCTCCCAAAAGCCAGGGCATCCTGGATGGCTCTTGGGGGCACTCACTGGCTCCCTGTCTCAGAAGAAAAGATGGGATGCTGGGGAGAAGACATGACTCCCCCTCAGTGTGACTGAAGCCACACGGTCCAGGAGGAACCCCACCCCACCCTCTTAAGACCACATGCTGGGCTCCCCAATGGCTGTATACCAGGAAGATTCAGAACCTGGCCAGCCAGGGCAGCGGGGGCCTCGGGCACACCTGGGGAGCACCTCTGCCAGCCTGGCTCTCAGTGCAGCTAAGCGGACTTCCCAGTCCTGCTCCTGTCCACACCCATGAGGCGGCTTCCACCAGACCAGGCTGCTTTTCCCTTGCCCCACCTATGTCCAGAGTCCCCCACCCTGCTGCCCTGGGACATTCAGTGTGGGACCACCTGGCCTGTGCTTCTGAGACCCACTGGCTTCCCAGAGAGCCCCATTTGAATGGGTGGGTCCCGAGATCTCTCTCCCCCACCCCCATGATGGTCACATGTGAAGAGCTGTCACCAGGTGCCTGTGAGGAAAGGGCAGCCACGCACATCTTGTGCGACCACGAGGAGCACACTCCTGCCCCAGACAGTGAAGAAATCCTCACCCGAGACACCCAGGTCTGCCTGTGTGCTGCATGCGTCTTGGCAGATCCACTGGCCCACCTCACCTGCCAGGCCACGGCCAGCTGGGCAATCTCTCGGCCCGACATGCCTTCTGTCAGCTGGGCGATCTCTGAGCACTTCTTGCCGTAGTCAAACTGGGCCAGTTTCAGGCGCCTAAGAAGAAAAGTTTCTAGACCGGCTGCAGACAGTGTGGGTGGGCGCAGAGGCCCCCCGAGGGCTGGGCAGGCAGGGGACCGCCAGGCTGGGACCACAGTCCCCTCAGAGCTGGAGGCTCCACATTGGTGTCTACTATCAACGCCCTCTGTCCTGACACACTGGGCACCTCCCTCCTAGCTGCAGCTCAGGTGATGCCCCCAGGGTGGCATGCAGGCTGTACGGGGCCTCAGGCCTAACCCTGAGAAACGGACCTGAGGCACCACCACCCATCCCCACAGACAAGGGCTCCTTGGCACTGGGTACAAAGCGGCCCAGATACTCACCCAGCCCCACCCTCCACACTCAGAACCTTTCACCCAGTGACAGAGTGCTACGTAACATGCAGGAACTTGAATACAGAAAAGTTAAAGGTTCTAACTGAAACAACTTACTATCCCTCACTTACACACACGGAATTCCTTCTGAAGCTACCCAGGTTCTAGAATAGAATATTACTGATGGCCAGAGAGTCAAAGCCCAGAGGACAGCAGCTAGGCTGCGGCAGGAGCTGCGGGAAGTGGCTGGCACTGGGCGCTCTTGGGAGCTGAGACGAAGTGGGGGAGGAGGCCCAGGTGAGGAAACTCCATGGAGAAACAGGGCCGGAGCCAGAAGGGGGCAGATCTTGGTGAAGACAGGAAAGAGCTTCTGTTGTATGAACGGATATGGTGGCAGAAAGGCGGCCGGAGGGATCTGGGTCAGGGCCAGCGAGACCTGCCTGCTCTGTGCAACTGAGGCCTCCCTCAAGGGACACCCAGAAATAGACTGCACGCTGATCTGGGGCATTCCAGATACAGCGCAGGCCACAGGCTGGCCTGGATGGTGTCTTGGG